ACAGTAACGTGTAAACGCTACGTTCGCGAACTATTTTTGGCGACCTGTGAATACCTGTTTCTAGCGACCCAAATTATCGAATGTTTGGAAGCTCGTGAAACCTTGGAAGATCGCTGGACGAGCAATTTCACCGAAAAGAAAAAAACGTAATCGACCCAGATCGCGCACAGCCGAATTCCCGTAGCGACAGGTAAAAGTCCTTCCGGTAAGTATATTTGATACAACTATTTTTAGCGACGCGTATTCAACGACTACTTTCTAGAACGTCGGCGTCTCTTTTCCAAGGATTCCGACACTGACTCAATCCGCTTCCAAGAAGGTGTCCTTAGAAAATAATTTTCCAACCGCCGTAGGCGAGGACGACCCTCCGGCTGCGCGTCTCGTACCGCGCGAAAAGGTCAACGTAGAAGCATCGATCTTCGGGGGATCTACCGGAGTGGAAGCCAGTCAAAGGTCAGGACGAAACGTTGGCGTATGATGCAGGTAAATGGAATCAGTGGCTCGAACCGCATCCTTGACGCACTCGAGATACCTCGCGAAAAATCTGACGCCATCCACAGGTCGCTCGAGCAAGGTCTGCTCGCTCCTGATAATCGCGAGCGTTCTTCTCATCTATCATAATTTCATAATAAAGTACACGCAATTCTTCCAGAACGTGAGTGTGGATACATAGGATTACAGATTACAAAAGACGCCTGTAAATTTTTCGAATCGTGGTTAAAACACGTCGAAGCATCGGGATTAAATCTACTCGTTTGCATACTAATTCTACAGTTTCGAGAATGCACGGACGCGATATGTAATTTTAGGTTGTAATTCCACGTTGTGAAATCAGAATGCGAATGAAACCCACCGAGGAGGCTGCTGTACGCCTTTTCAGTAACGTGAATCAGCGAGAGACAAAAGTGGAGGAGAGTGGGTGCAGTGTTTCGTGTATGAATACACTGGTTATGAATCGAGAAATTACACCTGTAGCTACCGTATGGAAATTTCGCGATCTACAAAGCGACATAAAAATAAGAAATCGTTAAGGCGCGCGTATGTTTTTATTTTAATTTTCTCTGCAACTGGTGATTCCGAATTAGTTTTCGCGAGTTTCGTCGAGCTTGGTCTCGATCGCCCGAAACGGAATAACGAGAAGGGACGCGACGATGGCAGAGCCACGGCGGGTCGATTACCTTCTTTCCGTCACCGAAAAAAGATTTCGGATCCGTGATAAACAGCGGAGGCGCCGGAAAGGACAGGGCGTCCAGGGGCGAGCAGCTTTTACGAACCGTTCCACCGAGACGTCGAGGCCACTTTTTCAGCTCTGCATAAATAAACGGGGTCTATTCAGGCGCTGTTACGGTGTCCACGTTTCTTTTTCGAAATAGTCGACCTTCTTAAAATACACCGGTGGGGCCCAGCGAAACGTCCATCGTGGCCAGCGGACGATAAAGCTCGAGATCAAAGCGCGATCGCGAGGCCAACGGAAACAAACGAATACACGACGTTTAAAGGGTTACGCCATCTTGCAACTCAACGTAGACGACGTTCTAGATAACAATTTTTAACAGGGATTGAGAAAAGGAACGATAATTTATCTGATATTATATAAATATAATACTTTTGTACCTACACTTAGTGTCCCTTATAAATTCCTGAAAACTTGGCAAAGTCTTTCCTTAATATTGAGAAATCAGATTGCGTTTGGCGATATCTATGAATTTTATGGAACAATTGGTCCGTTCCAGGCATTTCTGGCGCCGATAGTAAGTTTCGCGGTTCCGGTTTGCATTTCGATTTGATTTTACTGCATCCAATGACTACCGATCATCGAGACTCAGTATTTTGCAATTACGTTCGATCTGACTTGATTCGAGATGAGAATAGAAAAATGATTAATGGAACGTTTAATCTAAGAATTAATCTCAGATCAGATTTGTTGTCGATAATAATAATAATTAGTAGCAGAAAAGCGTCGAAGAAAAAATTCATTCGGATTTTTCCGTCTTGCAAAGATGGCGCAACTCTTTAGTAATCGCGACGATCGTCGACGGCCTAGCATCTTTTATCGCACAACGAGAATCAATATCCTGTAAGATCAAGGCCTTCGACGTGACAGTCTTGATGAATCGACGTGCACCTCTAATTAAGATTGCGATAGACTGCACATCGAGAGCCAGATAATGTTAGACGATAAGCCGGTATCGCGCAGTAGACGAGAAAACAAAGCGATGTTTAAAAAAAAGAAAAACGTCGATTCACGTTCGATCGGCGTGAAACTTCCGACGAAGGTGGACAAAATCCTCGTCTCGGATACGGATCTCGAGCAATGAATAAAACATAAACAACTTTTTACCAGCCACCGATCGAATACAAACCAGAAATCTAATTATAAAATGATACTACGATACGGGCGATCGATTGATCGTTGTACTTATCATTTATGGCGATACAATTTTACACAATTTCTTTATTTGCACCCTGACAAAATGCTCTTAATCCACAAAGGGTTAAACGGTTCACTCGTGCCAGGATCAAACATTTAAAAAAATCGGTAACTTCCAGATCGATTCAAGGAAGGATGCGTATGCCGGAACCAAAATGAAGGCATTGAAGTTCAGCCTCGTTATCCGATCTCCGGCGGTGCACAGCCTTCGAAAAATCGGCTGGCAACCTCTCCCGTTCGCGTGGATCGCCAAGGACCCACGGTGGCAGTGCGTTTCGCGGCGATTCGAGAAGGGATCGAACGTCGAACGAACGAATGGACGCTCGGACGAATCAACGAACGGCGAGCAACGGGAGAAAATGGTGTATAACCTTGCTCGAACGACCTCGATCGCCTTCACCGTAGTAGAAACCTTCGTTGCGCGGCGTCGTGCTTAGCGTCTACGGGCACGCGCGATATCGACTACAGGGATCCATCGATCCCGTCGCGAAATGATCTCTTTCGCGCCGTAATTCGAGACCCGTCGATAATGTGTCGCCTCCCGCTCGTCAATCCCGTTTCTTCCTCGCGAAAGATGGCTTCCATCCAAACGTCCACCCCTCCACGAGATACCACACCGCTCGAGAGGCGAAACTCTTGCATGGAACCTTTGATGTTCGTCCCCTGATTCGTTCTTTGTATCCACGCGCGTGTTTCCGGTGCTTTTTATAAAAAAAAAAGAGGTTACAGAAGCAGTGTAAACCACCAGAATATTACAAAGAGGAACTCTTTTCCAGTAGTTTGCTACCAAACGACTTAATTATTATTTTATTTTGAAATATAGGATGGCAATATTACGAAAAGTAATTTTTTTTTTCTGGTAGTTTGTTATCAAATGATATAAATGAAACGAGATCTTCCGCAGGGTCAAGACTTTGTTCCTAGATCGCTAGAAACTCCGTGGATCCTCTCCGCCAGGTGCACGCTCTGTTTCAGATTTTTCTAATGGTTTCGAGTCTACTCCATACTTTACGCGTAGTTTGGCGCGTGACCGATTGTTCTAAAACTCGCGGCAAATAGATCGCGAAGTTAATACGTTTACGCAAAAGAAGAATGACAATTTAATAGAAATTACGAAATCACGCAGAAACATCTACGCGCGCGAAACGCAGGAACATAAACAATTCCAGGAATATTATCCCGCTAACGTTCCAGTCATTCTTACAAAGAATGTTTATTTTTCCTCGGTAGCAACAAACCGCTCGTCATAGTTCTCGTAAACGTAGCCGTTCCCGTCGATTTGTTCGCGTAAACAGTTCCCGATCGAGAGAAAAAAACTTAACGAAAATCCCCTTTGAGATGTATCTCGTTCCAATTTCTAGAATCGCGCGCGTTGAAGCTCGCGAGGCGTTGCAACAGAGCAAAATGTCGTGCGTTCGCGAGCGCGGATCCACAGTTGCGTCACACTCGGAAGCGTAACGACGGTTTACACTTTCGAATTAGACGCGCAATCGGGAGCGTGCAACCGAGTTTTCGTAACGAATCGCCAAGGTGTCCTGGATCGCGATGGAGAAGCCAGCCGGAAAAGTTCCGAGAAAAGCGACACGCGGACGTCACGCGCGCTAAACGGCGGATTCCGCGGAAAACGCAAATCGCGAGAGCTCACGTGTCGCTCAGCTGGCGATACCGAGGCCGATTTTTTTCCAACCGTACACGCTCGCGTGCGTGATCGCGCGAACGCATCTTTTTCCAAGTCCTGCACAGATTCTCCGAAGGATTACGTGGAACCGCGCAGGAGCTCGCGATTTCCGCGAATTTTTCTGCTCGAGGCAGCGGAAAATCGCCGGTGTGCACTTTTATTATGCGTTGGGGGCAAACTCGGGCAAATGGATCGCCTGGTTTTATCGAGAAACCACCATGCAACGATACTTGGATACATTATCCGCATATGATTTTATTTAGCGGATAGGTTTTCTTGGATTCTTAGAATATTCTCGTTTCTTCGATTCTCTCAATTTGTTTCTTGTACGGTATACAATTACACAAATTGAATTATCAAAATAAACGAATAAAATGTAAATTTGTAAGCTTCTATCTTCAAACTTTGTAGGAAGAGAACCACAAAATTGCCTCCAAGTTGCTAGTCGTGTGTACCGAAAATGATTCTTGGAGTGCTAGGGATTAAGGATTGCGTATCAACAACGAACCGTATAAATTTTATTGTTCCCCCGATGAAACCAAATAATTTCCACGTTGTGTCGCTGCCATAATCCCGCGCGTCAACACGAGCGAAAGAAAAGAAACTTCTCAAACGTAGGCAAATCGTCGTGCAAACGATTAAGATAACTTTCTTCAAATGCATTAAGAACAACGAGGTCCCCGGTGTCCTCGTGGGACCGGAAACAGCATATTCCATTATCGGAAAGAAAAACTATCCGGTCTCAATTTACTTTGTCGATTACGAATGTATCGTCCAACCGTTACAATCTCTGGCACACACGAACGATTCGACAGAAGTCGAAAGCCTGTACGTGTCGTCGTAGCGTCACAAAGCGAATATTTAAATAATAGAAAGCGACATTTCACTTACCCCTTCGTTTCCTAGGAACTGTATAGTAGGGTTCTGGCTGGTCTTGTTCTGAAACAGAAAAACAAGGTCCAAATTGATTTTACTAAATTCGTCGGAAATGCTGGTTGATATGAAGAGAATTGAACGTATTAAAAGAATTTATTACGCGGTAACTCGAGTTATTAGATAAGTATTTCTATCTAGCTTCCACTCAAAGATATCAGACGTTAATTAAGGATGGGTATCTTTTTAGTATTATCATTTTTCTTTGTAGTATGTTTAATAAAATTGAGATTTGGAAGAAAGCTTTCACCGTAATATTTGTACTTTATTTTCATGCAGTATAGTTGCCAATAGACTTTTGACAAGACTCGTAATAACGAATAGAATATAAGGAAAGGGGTATAAGTACGACAGGCTATGTTATTCGCACATTAGCAAAGAGAAGAATGTAATTAATTGGAGTCAAGAAACCCATACTTACTTTCGTAAGCAACAGAGTAAAATGATGTGTTTCTCTTAAAATGTCTAGATGGCTCGTGAAAGTTAATAAGACTTAATAGCGAACATCTGATCCGACCATTAGAAAGAAAGGTTAATCCAATTACTGTCCTGTGATTAATCAGTGTCGTCAAATCCATTATTTATGAGTAAGTTCTCTCTAAAATTTAATCTTCGCAATAGCAAAATTTGCACTGCATACTGGTAAATTGTTCTCGTTTTTGAGCTCCTCTCGAATGCTTTGCAAAATGAAGTCTTACAATATTTCTTCAAAAATTTGTACAAACCTTAACAAAATATAAATAGAATAGTAGCAGAGAAAGCAAAGCGAGTAATTGCTTTTGCAAGTCTCGAAGTAAAAAATCGAATGATTAACGATTGTAGTTTGTGTGTTTTTTTTTTGGTATCGTTTTAAACACGACGTTTACCTCGAGTGTGGAAATTTCCTTTTCTTTCGGGGGGAGTGGTTCTGAAATAATTGGAAAATAATTCTAGTGTCTCGAGGAGGCTCGCGTAAACGATACCAAGTTAACGAGAAGAAAACGCCAGGCACATGGTCGAGCACGATCACGCGTATTTGCATAACACGCGTTCGCACTCTCTGGCAGAAAATTCAGGTCTCATTCAACCGGGAGAAAAGGAAACGCTCTCGTGCTTTCCAGGCGCGTGCGCGCGTGCTTGCACCAGCATCCTCGTTACGTGCCCTATCGTCGACACGTGTACATAATTCGATGACAACGTGTGATATAACGGAAATTGCGCCGCCCTCAGCACCACAAATTTCCCAAAATTCTTCGTTACTGCGCGACAGAAAAGAAAAGAAAAAATAAAAACAGAATGGGCCGAAAGTTGAATCGGCGAATGAGTTTTGTTGTCTCAACCTCTAAGTAATTCTTATCTTACACGAAGTATTTCTTATAATTTTGTATATCAAGTGTTCAGCCATCCCTGGGAAAAATTTTAATGGGATATTCTAAAGGCCAAAATAAGACGAAAATCAAGAATACCAATTTGTTGATGGAGGCTTTGTTAAAAAGTTATTAACGTTTAAAGTTCCGCCCGAAACGAATTTTTTTCTCGAAAATGCGCAAGATTTCGGGGGTATGTCTTTTCACCAAAAGTGATTGTAATTAACCCCCGCAACCGAAAATAATTTTTTCAGAACGATTTGAAATTTTTTTTTCCGTCGAAAAATTTCACACCTCGAATTTTTTTCTAGAAAGGTGGTAGGATTTCGGGAGTATGTCTATTCACCAAAAATGATTGTAATTGACCCCCGCAACCGAAAATAATTTTTCCAGAACGGTTTAAAATTGTTGAATTTAATTGTTAATAACTTTTTAACGAAGCCTCCATCAACAAATTGATATTCTTGATTTTTGTCTTATTTTGGCCTCGAGAATCCTTCATTAAAATTTTTCTCAGGCGTGGCCGAACACCCTGCATAGCGAGACAATAGTAGTATGTATATAACACGACTCTGGTCGTGAAACTTTTTAGTTCGAATACCTGCGAATCGTAAAAATAAATGACAGTGGGATCTTGTAACGTGAAACGTTTCCTGTGTTACATTGTGCATGTACGACGATTTTGCACCGCGATCGTTTGGAAAGGGAAAGTCCTCGGTAAAAGCTTCGTGTTGCCTTCCGTAAGACGTCCGTAAAACCGGGATGTGCTCCGATTGGTAATATCCTTGATAATCGATCGTATTCGATAATGATGCACGGAACATGCACCGTTTACGAGGAATGCAGTTGAAACAACATTGTTTTAAAATTTAACCTCGACGGGACACGTTTCGAATAATAACGAATATCGCCCGACGGACGATCTTCAAGTTTAATGGAACCATTTCTTTTTGAAAAAAAATGTTCGATTAAAGTTTTGTACAAAGTCTACGGATCTGGAAGAAAAGTATTGGAAATCGGTGGTGGAATGAAAAACAATTTGGGCGATATCAACTTTTAACTAAGCTTTATTAGAAATACTTGGAAGGCACGTCTGTACGGTTTGAAAGAAACATACAGAATGAAAAGGCCAATGACGAAAAATTCGTCCCGTACCCTCGGACCCAATCGGTCCTAGACTTTGTCTAAACAAGCCAAGGAAGGGACACAGCTGCACCCTCTTGACTTGTATCTCGAAACGCGAAACGCAACATACGGGTCGATGGTTTTTGTCGCGGAAAGAAAACTTTCTCTTTTAGAACAGAAAAGCCAACAAAAAGAACACCCGATTTGGACCAGTCTGGCAGGTCAGAGGAAATAATGATTTGATGTTTTCGACGAGACTTCGGATCGTTTAACGTTTCGATAAGAGTACAGAGGCGCAAGACACGTAATTCCGTGTTAAGGATGCGTGGAACATTGCATCCGCCGTTGCTGCACGAGCGGACCTCTCACATTCTCGATTGCTGTCCTTCAAAACTAATACCGACGCGACGCTATTAAATCTCACGTCTGAAGCGACGCTTCTCCGTCGCGCGCGTCAAAATACACACGCGAGCATTGATGTACGTACTCTTCGTGTTTCGGTCGCTGTCGCGATATAACAAGATTTAAAAGCACCGAACGCGACGCGGCGAAAGACAGAGAACGAAAGAGAACGAGCAAATAAATTAATGACGGAAAAGACGACCCATGGTCGGGGCCGTTAAATGCTTCGAACGTGAAACATTAACGTTTCGCAGACCGCTCGAATTCTGCCCCGTCGAATGCATCTTAACCTGTGGTCTCCCAAGTCCGATGTACTGGACGACGAAGTAAAATTTTCGCCCGAAGCAGTGACTCTCAACGAACGTTCACGTTCGATCACGAGACAAAGCAATAATTCGTATCTTCGTTTCTATTTAATATTTATAGAATTTGGGCCCCTAGACGAACTTGGAATGATTTTCCGAAAAGGGTGATTATATTCCAATAATACGAATCACGAGGCGGCAGTTGGCGGAAAGAAAACTCTACTGATTACATAGATTTAATGTAGTTCGTTTCCTCGTTGAACTCGTTCATTTCGCCGTCGATATCCGGCTTATTACGCCGATTAAGTTCGTGATTACGAACTCCATTATATCGGATTATTTCCACTATATCGGGGTAAATAAATTCAAACAACGACAGCGTTATTAGTACTTTCATTCGATAATTCGTTTAATAATAGCTTTAATCGTGCACTATTTATTTGTTCGCGAACTCGTAGAGGCGGAAGCGCACCATCGTCGACTGGATTGTTCAACTTTTTGTCCGTTTAATTACGCGCCGCGTTCGTTACGTTTATTCGTTGCCCGATAATGTACCGGTCAGGCAAACGGTGATTCACCGACTCGCGAGTTAGAAAACATGTCATTTTTAGGAGTTGCGAGTCTTGCAAAGCAACTATTCCGAGCAGGTGTGCAACGTAGTAGATTAACATTTTCAGGTTATGCTTAAAATTCACGGCTGTACTTGGCCTTTGCGCAAGCACGTAATTACTCGGGCATGAAATCTACGCCTTTTACCAAATTATGCAACGGCGACGTTAAAAACGAAATTGTTTCGAACCGTTAGCGGGGCAACAAAAACATTCTGTAATCCCAACTTGGGAAATTTTTCAACTACCTACTCGATAGTTGATTGGAGTTCATATTTATATTAAAAGAACATTTTGTATATTTTATTTGGTCTCTGCAAAGGCTAACGAGATCTTGGTTTGAAAAATGTGCCGGTATCGTTTTTAACGAATTAATTTTATACAAATTATCAAAGAATCGTGGTACGAAAATTATTCGAGCTTTCCCTACGCAGCAATTTTTATGAAATAACCCGACCTTCCAACCCCTTTACGGTGAATTGAATAATCTTCGTGTCGTAAAAGCTGGCTTTGCCTTGTCCGTCTCCTAAAAACGTTTTTTCAATGGGAAACGAAACGTTTACAACGCGCCTCGAGCGGCCACGCCTCTGCAATAATTTCTTTTCACCGAAACCTAAAACAAAAGTTCCATTAACGCGAAGTAGCGGGCGAAACTTCGTTCTTGCCACCCGTTGAGCGATTCAGCTCGTTGCTTTCATCCGGTTACCCCGACGGGGAATAAAAGACGAAGGGGGTAGAAGATATACAACACCCGTCCGCAGACTAAATTCGTTTTGCCGGACGTGTTTTGCGTGTGAATAGACGCAACAATGACGCGAATTTTACTGCAGATAGATAAATACATATTTATCGACTTGAAACAGAGTCGGGCGAAATTATAATCTGATTACATTTGCCACGATACGTGCAATCGCTTTGCACGATAATTGGAGAGTTATTGCACCCTTTTAATAGGCAATTAGTCGGGGAAAAGAACGTGGTTACGTGTAATCGTATCGTGACAAAATTGTAAATTCAAAATGGTGGATTCTATACAGAGTGTTCGGCCACCCCTGGGAAAAATTTTAATGGGAGATTCTGGAGGCCAAAATAAGACGAAAATCAAGTATACCAATTTGTTGATGGAGGCTTCGTTAAAAAGTTATTAACGTTTAAAGTTCCACATGTACTGAATTTTTTTCTCGAAAATGCTCAGGATTTCGGGGTTATGTCTAATCACC